ACTTGTTTTATTTGTTCACGCGTCTCGACGTTGGTCGGTTTGAAGCCTTCCCCTACCCTATCCGCTCCGTGTATATATATCCATTTTTCTTCCACTCTCAAATACATCGCATTTCTCAACTACTGCAAATTTATATTATATCTCTTGCCCTACCATTTGAAGAAGAGATCTTGTGAAAGGGAAAAAAAAACGAAAAATACCTTTCTCATTTCTCAATCTGCAAAGAAATTTGGGAAAACTATAATTTTTGCCAAATATTTTCGAGGGTTTCAAATTTTCTCCTACTGAAAAATGGGAACAGAGGTTTTACCGCCACAAGATCTCCTCGCCGGTAGATTACGCGTTCCTCCGGCGTCGTTCCATCGCCGGAGGAATTTTCCAGGCAACGGAAACCTGACTCACCTAATCGTCAATCGGAGGTCGAGTTACAACGTGGCCCACAAAAAAGCATCTCCCCGTCCCGACAAGAAAAGATCCACCGCTACGGCGGTAAACGGCGGGACGAAGAAGGTAACCCAAGGCGGCGCGACGGAGGTACGGCGGAAGGACGACGGAGTTGGCGGCAGCCTCGTGATGGGGCAGGTGACCCTCCTTAGGAGGGGCGAGTCGCTTGATTCGTTGGCGTCCAAAATGAAGGGCGGAAAATCAAACCCTAGATCCCCAAATCAGAGACCGGAGGACGATATGGCGTTTCTGGGGACCAGCCGGATCGGACCGGAGTCACCGGATATGATGCCGAAGCAGATCCGCCTGTCGCCGCCGTCTTTCCACGACGTGTACGCCGGGTCGGCTTTCTCCCTATCGCCGTCACCACGCGCTCTCCCTCTGCCTTCCTTTTTCAACAAAAAACAGCAATTTCACGGCAGTGAAATCCGGCCGTTGGATGATACCGCGACGCGGGATCTGAGGCGCCTGCTTCGTCTCGATTGATAATTTATTTTGGGTTCCAAAGCACGTCTGATTCGGCGTATGGCTCCGATTGGATTCTCCGGTCGTCTCGACTTCCAACCCGTAGATTATTTTTTCAGAATACGGGTTTGGGATTTTCGGTACCCGGGAGTTCAAGTTGTTTAATCTATGGGTCTTCTTTATTTTTTTTTTCCTTTTTCTTTTTTCTTTTTCTCTTTAATTTTCATATTTAGGGTTGACATAAAAGCCGGTGAAAGAATACTAAATTCTGTCACTAATAATGTAGTTTTTATGTAACGATAGAGTTGCTGGGTTTGGTTTTGGGTAAGGGTTGCAGAAATTTGTAATCCGTACTCTTAATTATCTGGCATAGTCTGCTTGCAGCTTTACTTGGAATAATATTGGTGGTGACGATGATGATGGTAGGACTTGAGTTGTATATGTATCATCAATTAAATTATTACTAGTTTTAATCACTGTTCTAAAAATCGGCCTAGGCGCTAGGCAGTGCCCGGGCGTTTTCGATTTGTACAAATCAACAGAAAAAATTGGCTAGGCGGCCCTAAGCGCTCCTAGACGGCTTTGGCGGGCTCGGCGGCCAGGCGGTTAGGTGGCGTCTAGGCGGGCTCGGGCGGTAATTTTTTAATTTCTTTTTATTTTTTTTAAATTTTTTTAAATATTAATTACATTATTTTATTCTCATGTTTTTTTAATATATATTAATATTATTATTTGTACTTGATGTGTGAATTTATTATATGTTGAGATAATTTTATTTTGTAAGTAGTTAAAATAAATAAAAAATAAGGTATTTACTATTGATTTCTGCGTCCCGACTAGGCGTTAGACACTTACGAGCGCCTAGCGAGCGCTTAGCGATTTTTAGAACACTGGTTTTAATATAAAAAATGTAGTGTTTGGAATTAGTAAAACTTTCTTTGTTTCCTTTTGTTTTTCGATTCAAATTCGAGCTCTCAGATTATTGATTTAGCTCGGTGGGCAAATTTAAACATCATCTTAGGAATAACTCTCATTTAATAAGCTCCGATTTATAAGCATTACTGTGTATTGGCAGTTTTAGTTTGCAGATAATGTAACAGAGTTAGGTGTGCAGAAACTGCAATTGGGTTAAAAAACTCTAAGATATGAACATTATGAATGGACTAGTACTGTGAATTCGCTTGGATATAGGATGAATTCTCGCCTAATCTGGCTGGGTTGCTATTGCTTGAAAGAAATAGTTTTATGATATTATTAATGATCAATTTTGGCATTTAATACTAGTTCTGAACTATTCGAGTTAACCTTATCGAACGCAAAAGGAACTAAACTCATTAAACCTATAGTGAACTTTTCTTTCTTTCTTACTTTAGGTTTCAACAAAAATAGAGTGGACGAGGGGGAGTTGTGAGAGTAGTAGTGCTAAGGGCTGACATTATTTTTTTACGAGAGACGGAAAATGAACCAATAATCGATGAGAAAATGAATCGAAAAGTACAGACTCGCTTGTAACGGTAATAAGTTATACTTATTACCGAAAAGTTATCGTTTTGGTATCGGTATCTCTGTATAAGGGTTCGGTTAAAATAAAACTGAACCAATAATTATTAAAAAAAATAGTAAATATATATAATAAGTGCTCTTTTGACTTGTCTATTTTCTATTTCTTTCCTTAGTTCCTTAGAGCATGCTTGGATACAAAATTTCTCAAAAAATTCCAAACATTTTTAACTCAACTATTTTTTTTAACTCAATTTTTACTCAACCCCACTATCATCAATATTATCAATATAATTAAATAATATCAATCAATCATTTTTACACACCACCTTACCTTAATTCACTATTCATTCACTCACATAATTTTAACTAACCATCACTTCAAATCTTCTCTCTCCTACTTTACATCAAATCAACTTTAATCATTTTATTTTAAATATTATTCTAATATACTCACTGACAACTAAACATACCAACTTTTTCAAAATTAACCAAACCAAACAAAAAAATCCAAACAAAACCGAATTTTTTTATATCAATCATCCTCTTACTCATTTACGTATTGTAAAGTAAGAATTCTAGCTAAGCTTTTAGAAATCTTAGTTCCAAAAGACGTATGCTTCTATTCAGAAGTTCCACTCTTGTGCGCTCCTGTTGGTATTTTCTATTGGAAAATCAGCTAAAAAAATTTGGATTTGACTCAGTTTTGACTGATTTTTTTTATAGCTATATATTTGATTTTGGTTGAATCAGATTATGTAGAAAAATTCTACATTCTGAGTAGATACTCGTGGTATATTTATTTTCACAAAACTAATTTTCAACGAGTGAAAAATAAATAATTAAAATTAGCCATTAATGAACACGTAAAATGTTGGTTATGGGATTCGAAAAGTAAAGAGACATTTTCCACATTGAACTCTTGGATGAGATTAGCTCTCTTTATTAATATAAGCGAGTTGGAGAGGTCACAACAATAACAAAGTTATGCACTAAGTGTTGTGTTGGTTTCGGCTAGACATGCGCGCCCGCCCAGCTTGACTCGCTCGGCTTGGGTTCGGGCTCAGGCACGGTCACGAGCCTGGGACTTGGGTTTTGGGCCATGGTCCTTAGCCTTTGGTCCTTGGCAATTGGACTGTGGGCTGAACTTGGATGGTCTGGGCCGATATTGTGATTGGTGAAGGGCTTGGGCTTTGGGCCCAATCACTATATATCTTTTTGCTGCAATTTTATTTGTGAATTTGTGGCCCAAGTTTAAATTTAATTCAAGTTGGATTTGTACTCAGGTTTTTTACCAACCCGAGTGAGATCTCTCCAGGCACATTGAACCTGGACGTTTGACACTACTTGACTGTTTCAGGTGGAGTAGTGGTGTATTAACACCCGAAAACGAACTGGTTGTTTCTCTGCCCATTAGAACAATCTTAAGTGGGTCGTTACATGTGTTAAGTGGCAGGTGACTTGTGTCATCCCCTACCTAAGTTGGAAGTCCTATAAGCAGGACCTGTCTAGAGTTACTGAAAAATACAAGAACATCATCTACATTTTTTCTATCCAAAAGAGCCTCACGCATCATAACATACAGTGCTCATTTTTTTCACGCAGTTCGAGTTCGTCGGAGCTCAGAAGTCTGAAGTTATACATCTTTTGAGACGTAGTTGTTGTATCTTTGGGGACGGGATGCCAGAATCCATCAGCACACTACAGGATGTATTCGTCTTGCGGAAGAGCAATCCTCGCCTCGACTGATTCTCTTCCTGCATCTACATTTTATGTTTGTTTTTTTTCTATTTTCTAGTCCAAGTTGTACGAACTGAAAACACAATAATAGGTTTCACATTGTAATTGAAACACTCAGTTTGTAACATTTTCATTGGTGTCTGACACTAGCATGGTTTGACGCGGAAGATTTGTTAGTGTTATATATTGAAAGCTTGACTTTGCATGTTATTACACTTTTGCCCTTTCTGAATGAGAATCGTGTTAGATTAAACAAGTTCTACGTTCTGTTGTTTTGCACTTAGATGGAGTGGGTTGTCATCGGGAGAACCGAAGATCACTCTATCAGTCACTTGCGAAACAAGAATAATGGTTCACAACCTAGATGGACATGAACACCCCATCCGAACGGTTGTAGTGTCAACTGTACAGTTTGTCTAGACTGATTAGTTGCACTAGTACATTTATGTATTGGATAGGATCCCAGAGAGGAGAAGTTCATTTTATACTGATCGTCGTAAATGAACTAGGTCTCGGTTAATTACTGCGTTCTCTTAACCCGTAAGACATTAAACAGACAGATATATGTAGTATATATTACTTTGATTCACTTGGGTGAGGTTCAGTTCACTGGATTAATATTCTTACTGTTTTGGGTAATACTATATATAGGATGTGCTGTTAGGATATTTACGATCACCATGTGGGTCAGTTTGATGATGTCCCCGGAATGAGTTCATGAAGGATTATTATGCTAAACCCTATAGGTGGATTAAATTCTGGCATAGTAAGAATGTGATGAACGAGCGCTAGCTTCAGTGAAATAATAATAAATTAATTAATTCTTGATTGTCAGTAATCGAATTAATTAATGGACATTATATCTTAGACGTGGGGAGGTAAATCGAGTAATTATAATTGGAGTCTCAAATGTAATTTGGGCTAGAAAAAGGGAGTTCAATAATATAATGTTGGTGGCCCATTAATATTATTTAATTAATTAGAGGAGAGGGCTTGACCCACAGTTAGTCTAATTAATTAAGGAGCCCTATTCTTAGTCTCCTAAGGGTCTCTATTGTAGCTCTATATATACATCATTAAGCTAATGAGAAGAGAACCAACATCTCATAATATAGAGACACACACCCCACGCCTCTCTCTCTCTCAATTCTCATTCGAGCCTTATCTTCTTCTTGTTGCTCCACTGGTATAAGTTGAAGAAGAGTGTTTGAGTAATACAATAGAAGATCTATAGGTAATCGAGACCCTGTGATCATCTATCGGAGACCGACGGCAACCGACCAACCGCCGACCACCATGAACCCCCGACCGCCGCCATGAGCCCACGCCAGCCGACGGAGCGCCGCCGTGAGGAGCCGAGTAGATCGCGACACCCGGCCACCCGGTTGCGAGGTGAGACACGCCCGACCACCCACACGACCCGATCGCGCGACCCTGCTTCCGTTCGTGTGATCCAATTTCGTTCGTGTGCTGTGTACGACCATCCAGAAGATCAACCAGATCGCCAAAAAAATTAAGCCGTAAGTTCTCTACGTCAAACATTTAGATCCGCTGCGCATAGGTTTACGTTTGCTATTGAATTCGTGATTTGTACATAACGAGATCCTCATAGATCCCAACAAGATTTGCTTTCTATATAACCTTGCCAGGATTATTACAGAGTACCCATTAAAGTTTAGACTAATTAATGAGGAAAATTTTGAGAATAATTTTAAAACTATAACAAACACAACAGTTTTACTTGTACTTGTATTTATACCTTTAGAAAATATATCAATTACTATATAATAACTGTAAAACACAGGTATGGATTTTGTATTAAGCACATAACCTTATATCATTATGCATAATTTCAGATGCTCTAGTGACTCCAGTGGTAGTAAGCAGTTTTGCAGGTTATTATTATTATTATTATTTTTATTCTTATTCTTTTGTTTGCTCAAAACAGGTTCGGTTTTTTGGGTATAAAACTGAAATGAGTTTTTGATTACTGAAAATTCAGTAACCGACTACAAGTCGGTTTCGTTTCGGTTTTACAATTTGGGGTTACTGACACTTTCGGTTCGATATCTGTAAACTCTTATTGGTTCAGTTACCAAACCAACACCACCCCTAGTAGTGCTTCGAAGAAACAAAAGTAGATTTATTTTATCAAATTTAGCAATCTTTATGCTGGATGTGTATAACACCTTAATTTGGCTCTACAATTGTTGGACCGTTTGGCTTTAGTTGATGTGCTACAAATTTTTATTTGTTGCATCGTGAAAGATTGTGTTTTAAATTATACAAATTGTCTACCGACGTTCCAAAATAAATAGTTTTCTTCTCTCTCTCTCTCTCTCTCTCTCTCTCTCTCTCTCCCTCTCTCTCTCTTTTAAAGGAGGATCAATAGTGTTCCCACTCCTCCTTGGTGACTTGAACCCATTTAAATTATACAAATTGTCTACCGACGTACCTAAATAGTTAGTATTCTTCTCTCTCTCTCTCTCTCTCGCTCGCTCGCTCTCTTTTAAAGGAGGATCAATGGTGTTCCCACTTCCCCTCCTTGGTGACTTGAACCCATTTAAATTATACAAATTCTCTACCGACGTACCAAAATAGATAGTAGTCTTTTCTCTCTCTCTCTCTCTCTCTCTCTCTCTCTCTCTCTCTTTTAAAGGAAGATCAACAGTGTTCTCACTTCCCTTCTTGGTGACTTGAACCCATGACCTATCGGTCAGAGGTGAAGCGTCTTACCACTCAAGTTGAGCTTTATTGTCAAATAGATAGTCTTATTTCCTAATTTGTTGTTTAGGAAAGAAAACTATAAACAACAAACAAAACATAACAAATAAAACATAATCCTCTCATATATATAAGTAAACGCGAGAGTTTTGAGGATTGATTTCGGACTGATGCGTGTCCCACTTTTGTTGTGCATTTTGTTTGTGGGCTTGGTGCTTGTGTGCTAAAAAATGTTCCGGCCCTTTAGTTGTGTGTGTTTTTGGGCCTGGTATTGGGGGACATATATAGGTAATTTTTTTAGCTTCCTTCGACCGACGCCGCTTCACTTAGCGCGCCACTTTTTTGTTTGCTATCATTTTTTCGACCGTCGGCGTTCTTAAATTTGAGGTGAAAAACAGCGATCTGTTTGTCGCGTGCAGCGTTTGCGTTGTTGCCGGCGTCTGCGTTCTTGTCGACTATCGGTGTCATTGGTGCAGGCCTTTGCTTTTTTTAAGTGTATTTGTTTTGGCGGCCTCGAATATGTTTCATTCTGCCGAAGGACAAAAATTAGGGGTAAGACAATTTATGCTTCCGACATTCAGTTTATAATTTTATCCAATTGAATTTGTTTGTGCATGATGACTTTTGCTATTTCCTGGTCCTTGTGATTTTCCTTTCTAACTTACACTCACATGCAGTTTCGTTTTGTTTTTTGCTTTCTTTTGAAGGGGTCATTTTCGGCTAGTGGTTTGGGGATTTGCATTGTTCGTGCCATGTTCGGTTGAGATCGAGCAGTCTCAGGCAGATCGGTTGGATAATCTCATGGCTTGAGCTCCTCAATGAATTTCTTGAGCTTTTTATGTTTTTCTTCTTTCTTTTTGCTTTTTCGTTCTTTCTTTTGCTTGCACATTCGCCACCAATTAAACCTTAGACAGTAGCTCTTCCGCTAGAAGTTGCTCTTCTGCTTTTCTGGAATCTTTTTTCCAGAAACTATCCCAGGCGATAGTAGGTTATGAGACATCAGTACACACTATCATGCTCTACTCTTTTCTTCACACCATATTTGAGTTCTACATTATTGTATGACTAAATATTTGCTCAGATACAATTCTCAAATTTATTAACATTATTTCATTGTGAACTTTGTTGAAAATAAAGTAAAAAAAATTATAGTGTTTATTCATTTTATACAGATATATTTGTATTGCTCTGCTATCACACGTATTTACTATAACTACTGTATCATATGCCTCTTGTTTAAAAACAAAATCTTGATTTTGTAAAAATAAATCAATCACTTGATCAGCAGTTTTGTTATATATGTGGATGTTCTATTTGTTGAAATTATGTCATTATATTTAAAATTTGATTTCTAATGTTTTATATGCAGGACTATTTTATTTGTATGTTACTACAAATAGCCTGTTCTATCTTTTTCTACTGACATTTATTACAAAATTACATTGCACAATCAATGAATGTGTTTTAGAAATTTGTTTATTTAACTGTATATTGTTCACTTTTTGTTTTGTGCTTTTCGTTAATATTTATTTATTTATTTCTTTTTTTTTTGTGCTTTGATGTTGTTTCTTTCCCACATTGACACATGATGAAAGTATTTAACCTGACACTGCAATTAGTTTGTGCAGTATAAACTAAAATTATTTTTGGCTCACCTCCTTACATTTGATGTGAATTATTCTGTTCTTCTTGCTCTTACATCAGTGCACACACATACATTTAAATTAAGTTTTTAGTGACTTATCATAATCAATGGAAACATTAACACGGGACAACGATTTGTCGCACGAGATTGCTGCTTTGATCAACAACAAAAGAGCAACTTTTGGGCGGTGTGCATGTAGGGAAACTCGTTCAGACCCTCTTTTGAACTCGATGCATGTAAATATAACTATCGCATATGAATGTTTGAACTCAATGCATGTAAATATAACTATCGCCTATGAATGTTTTGTTAATGTAAGCCTATGTTTTGGTTTGTAGAATTATGAAAGCAATATAAAATATGTACATGGCCATGTGGCATTACCTTAAAACATTATTATTAAAAAAAATGTTATGCAAAAAATTTTTAGAGTCACACAACAGCACAATCGGAGCCCTCTAGTATTCAATAATATAAAAATTTAGAATCTGAAAATGATTTTTCTAAAACATGGTACGTAAATACAATTTCTCAAAACCAACACTCTATTCCTTGCGATAAATAGACATCTTCAACTATAATAGTCGACAGACGATAATCTCTATATCACTTGTCGTTTGATATCCTGAAACATTTTTACATGATTAGTGGTTCTCTTATCTACTCATCATGTTTTGGTAGATAACATCACTAAACATGTTTCGACTTATCGATGAATCAGATATACCTATATTGTCTAAAGGTTAGGATAATTTGTCTCCCTACGTCCTTTTTGCTTAAAGCAGAAACACACGCCTTTCAGCTAGTACTCCGCAACAATTTAAGACACTACCCAAGTTCTATTTTCAATTTATTTTGAACTAGTAATTTACTTCTTTTAAGCATAACAAGAGTGTTGAAAAACATATTTTGAAATCTAGAGAATCATGCAAATAAATGCTAGTCGAAATTTGAATTTAATTAATGTTGATTGCCTCAAACAATATAACTAAATTCAACTTCACTTGAAAACATTGAAAATACCGTATGCAATGTTAGTGTGGATGTATACTAATTTAACAATTGTAAGAGAAGTGTTATCACTCATTACTTATCTTGTCAACCTAACTTTTTGACAAATAATTCATAGTTGGTTTTTCTTCGTCCAGGCGAAAAATAGCAGTGACTCCGTTAGAGATAATACTATTAATCGTACTCCAAGTGTATAACATTACTTAATACCAAGTCCATTGTATAGGATTCTGTTCCTTCAATTGGAGAAGTACACACGCTCCTAAATTAAATTTCTATAATCATTCTGAATGAAATTTGTTCCGGTGATTTCACGTATTAATTCAACCGTTGGGGAAAAGACACTTAAAAACAAATTAACTCGCATTACCAAAAAACTAGTAATGGAGGCAATGAGACATATTTTAAAATTAACTAAAATTCTTCCCCCTCTTATCATTTTAAAGGATTTTTTTTAATGTACACATCTCATAAATAAATACTCATTTATATTACAACAAATAACAATAAATATGGAAGTAATGACAACAATTAATTCCAACTACTGTGGCCTCATTATTTTGTTGTTCCCGAATGTCATTTGGCAGGGATTTAGGGATCAACTTGCCAAGTCAGGTCACAGGGTTCAGGGCAACACCCCAATCTGTTTTAGGTTTGGACTCTTGTCCTGCCCAACAACATAACAAGATGTATTTGGTCTGACCCAACTATCATTCTATATCCGTAACTTGTACACATTAAGTAAACACTATCTGCCACCCTTGTTCGATTGCCCAAGCAACCGTATCTACCATCTCTTGTATAGCCCCGACGTGCGCGTTCAGCCTTCTGCCTATTAGGTTCAATGAAGAATGTCGGATCTATAATATGCTCAAATTTCCACACAATTAATCCTATGTGTAGCGGATTTAATGAATAGAATTACTTGTACAGTTTTATTAAGCCATCTTTGAGACGATACTTGGTCAACAGAACCGAAATCTAGAATTCTTGGCAGACACCAGATCTTCTGTTGTATTTTTTCACCTTGCTCAAGCATCGGGTGAGCGACGAGTTACCGAACAATATGGCTGACTCCTTCTATCTCCCTCTCTATCTCTCTCTATCTTAAGTCTCACGAGTATCTCTCTTACGAGGGGTGGTGTGCGTGGCTTTTGAACATATGATTAAGACTCCCAAGATGGTGTATTTATAGATTACATCGAGGACCTTAAGAAGGTTAATGTTAGCTCTTCTAATATGCTTATTCATTGTCATTACGAAGAAAGGTATTCACAAAGAACAACACGTTCTTAGGTTTAATAGTCGTTCTATTATTAATTAGTAAAAAATGCCAACTAGTACACTAATAAACGATATGCACTATTATTGTTTGCATAACCAAAGAAAATACAATCAACGGTGAGGATCATCTCTTAACTTTTTTTGGCTTCGGTTGATATTCAACCATGGACATGTTCTCTCACTT